TGTTGAGTGTTGTAAAATGAATTAGGGAATGGTCAGATGACTAGGTGCTTTCACTAAAACCTGACAGGCTAAAGCCGTGCTCTCACAATTCTATGAAGAACGCAGTGCGAAAATGTGCGCACATTGGATCATTTTTAATTAGGATCCTTTCAAACTGCCACTACCAATCGGCAGACAGCGTCGCGTCATCTAGTGCTCACAGTGAGCGCAGTTGGATTCGTCGTGTGACGGTCGTACCATGCAGTGAGTGTCTGGCGTCAGTTTCTACGACTCCTTGAAAACTAAGAAAAATTATTGCAGAATGTGGTGAGCTCCAGCATGGCATAATTAAGGGGCCTTATTGAAACTTTTTGTAATTGTATTCATTTTTTCCTTATTTGAATACATGTCAGTGTTTTGTGTTTCCTTTTATTCAAATATTTTTATTTTAATGACATCTATTTGTTGTCATTTACTGTAAGTGATGATTTGAAAAAAATCCAGATTTGAAAAAAATATAATGACATCTATTTGTTGTCATTTACTGTGACGATTTGAAAAAAAAATATTCAGATTTATTCAAAGAAAATTTATCAGCACAGCAAAGTCATTGCAGCACAAAAGATTGAAATACCATTTTTACAAGACACATTAATAATAAAATACCAAATTCGGTAAGTGAATAAAATATGCAAACTGCTAAGTCATACTAAAAATCTGGGACACAAGGTCCAACTAAAAAATCAATAACATTTTGAAGTCTATTTTTTTCTTATGATAATGTTTGCATAATGGGCCTATAGATTGCATTATCAATTTGTATAGCTTGTTGATCGATATGGCTCAATGCACAAATAATAGCCTGAAGTATAATAATTCATTGTGCTGCTCTTTAAGGTGAGAGACCCATGTGGTGACATTATAATCTCACTGAGCTTGTATTCATCCAGTATGCCTGTTAAAAATATAAACATGCTGAGATTTCTAGCAATCTCAGTACATAATTACATAAAAGCACTTTGTTGTTAGAAATAATGTAACGAATCGCAGAAGTAAGTTAAAATGACTGTAAGAATCATCAACTCTGACGTTGGTGGTCTGGTTTGTGTGGAATACATTACGTCCTCTGTCATCTGTAGCACCTACGGGGTCCACTTGCCGAAAAACAAGCAGAGATTTTCTTTTCTTTTTAACAAATTGTTTTCAATGGTTGTATTCTGTTGCACAAGTAGTTATTGTGACATAGGGAAAACTGTTAAACGATGTGTGGTTTTCAACAGTGGGCATGTGGGTACGCGACCAGTGCCCTGCATGGCCACAATTCCATTCATTATACAGACGGATATCTACTTTAGCACAAAAAACAAATTGAATATCACTAACCACGTCTCTAAGTATGAATGCATGGCTTCCAAAAGATTTTTATAGATGAAAATATAATTAGATTTCTTGTCTATGTACAAGCTACAAGAAAACCAAAAATTAAAATTCACTATTTAATGTGCTTTTGCTATAAATCTTATATTTTTTCACCAACTATAGCCTGGTTTCCATAAAATCGCTACACGCTATCACTGACCGCCTTCAACGATGCTGATTGGTTGGTTGGTGTGACGTGCCATCTCACTTGCATCAGGGACAACTATGTAGTGTAAAAACTCAGTGAGAACGCTGTAGTGACAGTGAAGAAATTTTTATACCGAAATCAGGCTCAACAAATGCATAAATATAATATGGTTTTTTTTTAGTGAAGAGTCTGTAAATCAGTTAAAAAAGATTTCAGTAAAGTTAATCTGATAATATGAAAGAGAGTAAACTACAAGGAGGAACATTGCATCATAAATAATCATGAACAAAGCGCATACAGGATGTTTACATTTATTCAGTGGATGATAAGATAAGATAAATATCTATATTGATATGAAAATTTTTGCTGGTTTCACTTAATATGAACTTAATATTGAATTTTCAGTTAAATAATATATAGTGTCTGTGATCAATTTTGATTGTTGGCTAAACCTCTATACAGTACTAAATAATAATTTAGAGACATTTTAGATTTGAAACCTCCTGGACATACCCAAGAAAACTTAGCAATGTTGGAACATTCTAAGCTTCTGTGATGTTTTTGAATGTACTGTGTCTGAAAAAAATTTTAAAAAAAGAAAATTAATTTTATTGGTTTAGTTTAACAAGTTGTGACTGAGGGTAGGTGTGGGAGGGCTCGCAGTTGGTCCGACAGGGCCTAAGTCACCCAATGCCTCCCTCTGATACAGTACTGCCATTGCGTACTGAGTAGTGCTGTTGTATCTATAATATAGCACACTTTGTACAGTGATAGAAAACTCAAGAAAACGACTATACAGACTATAGCTTTATTGATTTGGAAAATAGATTAGCTTTGATTAGCATTAATCTCAAGTTTTGTGTGCCCTTTGAATTGCAACTGGGGATTGGCTTGATGATTAATTTAACATCATTTTATTCTTAAGTTTCTGGAGATTTTCCAGGCGTTTACTTTAAGTGTTTAACTATACATTTGCGTATTATAAACCACTGTGTTTAGGATTAATAACTACAATGAGTACTTAGTAAAGTACACTTGTGGGGTTAGGACACTGCTGTTTAATAGCATTCCCAGGAGGGGCTAGCTTTTCCTGCTATTTGTGTTGCTATTTTACTCAAACTCAATAACAGATGAATGTTTTGTTTTACATTTCCTGTATAAAATGTTCCAGAGACAATATTAGAAGGCTTAAAGGGTGGTGTTTTTTTTTCTTTGGCCTGACATTTTGCTTCATAGTGTATTTAAAGAGGCTCTGATATGAAAAATAACCTCCAGCATTTGTTTTGAAGTATTTAAATTTCTTATTTGAAAAAAAAAAAATTGATTTCAAATGAGACACTGATCGAAAACAAACAATATTTTATTTATTTATTTATTTCAGTACAAAACAACCAATGGCTGAAACATTTGAAAAAAATTAATAGATAAAAATGAAATGAGAAAAATAGAAAATGTGGTACAGTAAAATGAATATTGATTTAACAAATAATTAGAAAGATTAAAATTGCACAAATATATTAAATTCTTATGAAAAAGAAAGGAGAATGGCATTAAGTACAAGAAAACATTTAAAAAAAAAGTAAATTTAATCTGGCATAACAGTAACGGTATAAGTTATTGTAATTTTTGACATTATTTAAAACATTATTCTTTTTAAACTATTGTTTAATTGAATTGGAATTTAATTATGTAATGTTTGAACATCGTTCTTTTTGAGTGAAAGTGCTTTGGATTTATTTGTGTGTCAAGTTGTTTAATTTATTATAAAGAATTTCGAATAATTAAAAATTTGGGGGAAAAAGATGACTAACCACCCTTTTTTCCACCTTTTTACCCCAGTTTTTAAATATACAAAAACCTGTTTCATTCTCATTAACCATTCCAGAGTTTTTGGTCAAACACCATTTTTGTGTCTTTGAAAAATTAGTTGTGCCTAGCTTTTCCCCTTTTTGGTTTGTTTCCTGTTAAAATATTATTTTATTTTCTTAGTTATAAGTTATATAATTTCTACTTGAAGATAATACATTGTGATAGTTTAGGAGACACAGGCAAGAATAATTTGGTACATAATAATATAAATGATAATATATTAATAATCAGTGGAGGACTGTAGGGTAAATTGCAGGGTATGCTAGGTATTGGCATGTCTAGGATGTGCGAGGGGCGCGCATGCCCCCACTTGTAAAATACTCGCCCTACCCCCAGTCGTGCCCCCACCCACAAATCATGCTCAAGTAGATAAAAATCACCTCAAATCACCTTATCTTGTGAGTTAGTCACTTAATTACTGATCCCCCACCATTCCGTCCCCATCAGCTTCCTTCCATTTCAAGACCCATATGCCACTGATGCTAGGGCCTGCTAGTAGGAAAAGTTTGTAAGACTACTACATTATCAGATTGCGTTCTATGGTCAAAATACAAATGTATGTTATTTTAATACCGGCATGGTTGTAGTATCTTTTCTTAAAAGAATTCCTACTTTAATATTTTAACAAATTTCAATTCAAACAATCATAATTCAAAGTTTCTTCTATAACCGGTCATATATATGCCAATTTATTTAAACTTTAATCATTGAGATTAGGCCTATAGATAGAATACCGAACCGGCAGTGGACGTCCCAGTCTGTGGGAAGAAGTACGTGTGCACATACAGTACTCTTTGAAGCACCACTTCCATGCCAGTGTTAAATTGGCTATTCTGACGCCACCACACTGTTGTCCCAATAGCAAATTTTTTAAGCATTGTAGGGTATGCTCTGACTCCCATTGATTCACTGAATATGCGATTGGCTGATATTGAAAACCAGCCGTGCAGAAAGTCTAAGCAGCTGAGGGTACGATGCGATAGGCTTGACTGTGACTTACCCTAGATACCAAAGTAGGCCAAAAATACATTGAAAAACTTTGCTATTCCAATGAAATGTAGCAATCCACTCAAAAAATTAAGGTTTATATAGAAGTTTCTGACTAAGAAATGCTAAATAAGAGAAACTGAACTACTATAAATTTTTTTATTAGTTTCAGCTAGGGTATGCACTGCATACCTTGCTTGCCTTGACTGGTAATAATACTAATAATAATCTGAAATTTTTCAAATTATATAGTTATTAAAAAAAAAACATTAAAATCAAATGTGTTTTACTATATGACTGAAAGTTAAGATGTTTCCTAAAAAAGTAATGTTTTGATGTTAGCTTTGAAAGTGGATATTGTTTGAAGATTGCTTAAGATGTGATGGTAGAGAGTTCCAGAGAGAGTAGTTGAAAATGTGAAAGATCTGTTGCTAATAATATTGAAGTTAATGACAGTGATAGTAATGATAATGATATTGATAATGATGGCAAGGATAATGATAAGTAATAGCAGTCATATAATAAGATGGATATAATTTTTATATTTATATATTATTTTGTACGATTTATGTTTTTATATTTGATTTGCATTCAGCAGCTAGAAACTTGATACTTTGTGATAGAAGTGAAGTCTGTGATGCTCTACCCAATATGAGGTGTAGGGACTGACCCTCATTTTTACAGGAACCCAGGAACTTGAGGATGTGTAGGGAGGTGAGTTGACTACTTTATGGAGATTGGATTCAACACTAGCCACTATAAGCTTGGTGGTCTAGTGGTTAGGACACCAGGCTAGATCTGTAGGGCATGTGTTCGGTTTGATTCCCACTCAATTCCTTTCACAAGTATTTTAGAACAAGCATTGAGTACATTCCTATTAAATTGTTTAGTAACGTACAGTTTTAAACATGAAAGTTTTCGCATAGATCAGATTATTTTTAGGAATGACAGGATCAGAATGACAAAATATTTATTTTTGGAGTTCTAAATTCTTTTGATAATAGCAGATTTCATTATGTCTATTGTTTACTGTAACTTAGCAACCTTGATTGTCGTCAGAGTACATTACTATTGTGCGCGCCTTTAATCAGTGTTGACTTCACAAAGATGTTATAGTTATCCATGAGCTTTATAAACTTTTCAAGCCATTCAGTTGACTTCTAAAGGATAGAGGCGGTTTTGTGTAATATTTGAACAGTCTATAGTGGAGCTCTGTTTGAATACAATAAGAGGTTTGGATAGTATCGAAGAGGAAGTTTTTCAAATCAAAATTACACAATGCGATAGACGGCGAAAACAAAGATGATATGGGTTTTTAAACCGTTGGTAGTTACTCAACCAGATGATAGACAATAGACGGGTACAAGTTGCGTGCGAGAAACGTATTAAACACACCTGTAGTTAAAGAGGGATTTGAAGAGAATGCCTGGAGGATAAATGTCGAACAATAGATATCGGCCTAAGTTGGCTCTTATGCTATTGTTTCTGGGCGCTCTGCCACAACATGTTTTTCAGCATTCTTGTTCCGTTGAACCTTCTAAAAAGAAACTTTTAGTTTAGTAGAAGAAAGAGAAGAATGCCTGTATTAATGGAGTCGGGGTGGTATGACATTGATGGCGATTAGATTGAAAAGGAACTAATAATAAGTGATTTAGTCAATAGAATTCAATAATACCATAAATCAACGTGAGAACATATTCGCTGAATTTTATTTTGCTCTTACATTTTGGGGGCTTTTTAATTTATTGTTGTTGTTCTTTTTTTGAACGGAGTTGTCACGATATATTTTGTAGTCGGAAATAAATACTCAACAACGAAATTTAAGCAGTTATAAGCAAGAATGATATTGAAGTATTATTATTATTATTGATATTATTATTATAATAATATAATAGTATTACCAATACTATTGTTATAGTATAATATCATAATAATAATTATTATAATCATTATTAACATTGTCTTTATTTAATACTGTTACTATTGCTATGTCAGTACTATTTACTATGATGATTATTACTATTATGCAAGTCTGATGATGATTATTATTATTATTATTATCATTATTATTATTATTAATATATATAATTAAACTCAACTCAGTGTTAGCTGACAACCATGAGGTCTCACTGGAAATAGTCTTTGGACTTTTGTGGTGGTTTACCTTGGTGTATTTCATGCTAAAGAACTCCGAATACAATCCAAAAATGTGATCAGATTTAATTTGATCAGATTTTATCTGATCTAGTTTTGTTTGATTTTTTATTCAGTAAAGTACTTTTTTACCTATTATTGACTTTTTGTTATAATTTGTCCATGTGTTAAGTGGGTTTAAAATACTAAAAATAATCAATAAGATTTTCAATGAAATAGGCAATTAGTTCTGCATTCTCATTTTTCGCACCCATTCCTCCTCCCCCACCAGCCGAAAAACCAGCCTATGCCCCTGTTGTTAATGTTTTATATTATTTTAAATAAAAAATAATCTGACTAAAAACTGTCATTATTATATTACTATAATTTATTGTTATTTCATGTATATAATATTATTTTATTATTATATTGTTAACTTTTCATTATTGTTATTGCTGTTTTTTTTATAACGATGTACTGACAAATGATATATAATAGTTCAATTTTTATCATTATTTGTAATATTATTATTGTTCTTTCTTTCTTTTCTTTCTTTTATTGTTTATCCTGGGAGACTGCTCAGGGATAAAATCCCTGGTCCTCCGCAGATCCCAGCAAAGAAAATAACAAACATTGAAACATTTCATTAAAAAAAACATTGAAACACAAAAAGCTGTACTACTCCAATTTTTTTTTTTTTTTTTTTTTTTTTTTTTAGAAAAAATCTCGAAATACCATCTCTAAAAACATTATTTTTAAGAAGTAAACTAGATTTGTTTATTATATTGTATTGTTATTTTGTAACTTGTAAAAATGGTTGTACCTTTTAAAAATAAAATTTTTTGAGAAAAAGTATATGTACTGTCCCTATTAGGATTCACCAGGAGATGTGTCTACCAAAGTTACTCTGTGCTTTTAAAAATAATTTTTGAAATCACTGCATACGATTAGCCTAGTCTATTATCCAAGCGAGAAGTCTTGGCTAATGCTGGTCTGTAATATAATTGTATAGGAAATTGTTGATAAGTGATCTTAAGAAGTGGAAAGCAATTTACCTGCTTTGTCTAAGATCATCATCAAGGATACAATAAAGAGATGTTAATACACTTTAATTTACCCCCCTGTTGCTTAGCTTACCACCCCTTGTTGTTCACAGCCGGCATTAACTAGTATAATGTGTTGGTGTGAAGGTCTTGATCATTATTACAAACCGAGTCTATTTACATTAAGAAAAAAGCTTTAATGCAAAAACCACATCAACCAGTATGAAACATTTTGTTTCCACAATAACATTTTCCAAAAGAAACAATTTGGGCAGAATTTATGGTTTGTTGGATGTAATTTGATGTGATTAATTCTGTCAAATTACCGTAAACCCCATTAATGGTGAAGTGGTGTATTATGCATCATTCAGTGTGTAATTTTTGTTCTAACATCATTCATGAAAATGTATTGTCATTTGTTCTTTTTCAAATTAATTGAATTACAATAATTTTTCCAGTTACTTGAGTGGCCATCAAGTCATGAATCAAGTAACTTTTTTTTCCAGATTTAACCCATGCTTGAACAATTTCTGTTAAAATAGACCTATATTATTTTATTTAAAAACTCTTATCTAATGATTAAATACCCCCACTTTAAAACCTGGTTCCGGAGGGGGGAAAAGTGTGATATGTTGGGCATAACAACCCTTATTTTCCACCTTTTTCGCCGAGTTTTAAATATTCATAAATCTGTATCTCATTAACCTTTCCGGATTTATTCGTAAAACCCCATTTTTGTATCAGTTGTATAACATATCAAACATTTGTTTTCCTCTGGAGCCTGGATTTAAGAGTGCCATAAAAAACATTTGAGTCTTGAATCTAATATAGTCATGTAATGTAACACATCTGGTAACCTTGTTTTAAAATAGACTTTTTGTTTTTGAATAGATATATCATTTAGAAATAATCCTTAAAATGTGAGGATCATGTTCAGATTAAAATGGATAATGGAATTCAATACTCATTGAAACGGTAAACAACGATTTCTCAACGAAATATCACCTCAGATGCGCAGTGTTTGAAGACTTCAGTGTATAATCGTGTTACGGCCGTTATCGCGTTCGTCAATAATAGCCCACCATGCATAAACTAATAGAATTACATTCACCATGACTGCAAGATCATTCCAATAGAAGAACTATACATTGAATTGAACAGCTGTAGAAATCGGATTACGTTGAAGGACTGACTCTAAATTAATGAAAATGTAATAGCAGTAATATTGAATGCGATAATTTATTTATCGACTGTACCTTCTTTAATAATTACTGCTGTGTTTACAGGCGCTCTGCCATCTAAACATTGGTATTGGACTGAAAATAACTAAAATAATTCAATCATTATGTAACTATTGATGGCGACAAAGAATAGTAGATTTGTGCCTGTGTGACACTTACAGCCAGTTCTTCAGTGGCAGATTGAAAAGGGGCTCAGTTGGTGCAGGTCCCCCTTAATTTTTTCAAAATTACTTTAAAATATGGAGAAAAAGTAAAATTATATTCCCAAATTTAAGTCTGATAGGTTACCATTTCAAGCCATCTAGGTGCCATAATTATTCAATTCTGATTCAATTCAATGAACATTTATTTGGTAATTCTCTCAAAATACAGTAGTAGTATTAGTAGTAATGATGAATGTAGGTAAGAATGGCCCGGGAAAAATGGCCCAGGGAAAAATGTCCCCAGAAAAAATGGCCCCGTTAAAAATTCCCCCAAATGGCAAGTAGGTAAAAATGGCCCCAATGAAAAAATTCAGTAATAAAAATGATATTTTTTTTTTAATCTTCAAATATTTAAATACTGTAATAAGCAAGAATTGAATCAATAACAAATATAGTTACACAACAGATGCAAATAATGTACTGAGAGATTATCAGAAGACAACGGCCATTGAACATTTTTTGATAGTTGAAATCAGTTTTAAAAACGTTATTCCACTAACAAAGTAGAGGAATGACATACATACAGTACTTCAACTACCAAAATATGCAACTCATAGATAACCACAAAATTCACTTTTGTTAAGTATCA